TGCTCTGTCCTGGCAAGTATTAACAATGTTAAGCCAGATCGTACATTATCCTGGTCAACTGGAGCAATGAGCAACATCCTGCTCTGTCCTGGCCAGCATTAACAATGTTAAGCCAGATTGTACAGTATCCTGGTCAACCGGAGCAGTGAGTCACATCCTGCTCTGTCCTGGCCAGCATTAAGTCAGATTGTACAGTATCCTGATCAACTGGAGCAGTGAGTCACATCCTGCACTGTCCTGGCCAGCATTAACAATGTTAAGCCAGATCGCATTGTATCCTGGTCAACTGGAGCAATGAGCAACATCCTGCTCTGTCCTGGCCAGCATTAACAATGTTAAGCCAGATTGTACAGTATCCTGGTCAACTGGAGCAATGAGTCACATCCTGCTCTGTCCTGGCCAGCATTAACAATGTTAAGCCAGATCGTACAGTATCCTGGTCAACTGGAGCAATGAGTCACATCCTGCTCTGTCCTGGCCAGCATTAAGCCAGATCGTACAGTATCCTGGTCAACTGGAGCAGTGAGTCACATCCTGCTCTGTCCTGGCCAGCCTTAAGTCACATCGTACAGTATCCTGATCAACTGGAACGGTGAGTCACATCCTGCTCTGTCCTGGCCAGCATTAAGTCAGATTGTACAGTATCCTGGTCAACTGGAGTAGTGAGTCACATCCTGCTCTGTCCTGGCCAGTATTAACAATGTTAAGCAAGATCGTACAGTATCCTGGTCAACCGGAGCAGTGAGTCACATCCTGCTCTGTCCTGGCCAGCATTAAGTCAGATTGTACAGTATCCTGGTCAACTGGAGCAGTGAGTCACACCCTGCACTGTCCTGGCCAGCATTAACAATGTTAAGCCAGATCGTACAGTATCCTGGTCAACTGGAGCAATGAGCAACATCCTGCTCTGTCCTGGCCAGCATTAACAATGTTAAGCCAGATTGTACAGTTTCCTGGTCAACTGGAGCAATGAGTCACATCCTGCTCTGTCCTGGCCAGCATTAACAATGTTAAGCCAGATCGTACAGTATCCTGGTCAACTGGAGCAATGAGTCACATCCTGCTCTGTCCTGGCCAGCATTAACAATGTAAAGCCAGATCGTACAGTGTCCTGATCAACTGGAGCAATGAGTCACATCCTGCTCTGTCCTGGCCAGCATTAAGTCACATCTAACAGTATCCTGGTCAACTGGAGCAGTGAGTCACATCCTGCTCTGTCCTGGCCAGCAATAACAATGTTAAGCCAGATCGTACAGTATCCTGGTCAACTGGAGCAATGAGCAACATCCTGCTCTGTCCTGTTCTGCAAGGTGTTAGATTGCCAAGTTATTAGGTTGTCAAGCAGCTATTGTGCCAATGAAATACTATGATTACTTGCTAAGTGGAAAATCAATTTTGGGAAGCAACTGTTTCCGATTATGTGGCTGTGCATTCAGAAGCAGCTAAATCTCTGAGCAAAAACTTCAGTAGTATTTTAGCTGGAGACGGGATCGGTATGAACCTTCCCTTCCCATTTAATTGTCATCATGACCTGATAGACTTAGCAATGTTATTGTCATTCAAGAACACAAGCACAGTTCTCATGTGACCTGTTAAAGTAGGCCAGAAGATTTACATTAAGGCTCAGCCTTGACTTTGAAGTTTCAACTCTTCACTGGTGGTCAAGGTGAAGGTCAGGTCAAGCTGACCTGGACTGGTTGTATATAACTTTAATGGTACCTTGACTGATACTCTCTAACTTGTCTAAGTCACTTGTAACAAACTTTTTATAACATCCCTGCATAAACAGACCTTTCAATTTACATTTTACCATTGCTTCAATAATCAGCTAGATATGGCCCCGTATCAGACAGTATTCTACCATATATTTGATACTTTGATATTATCGACTGTTATATAAATCATGCACTTTGTTTGCATCCTGTTAAAATTATTGGCTGAAATGTTGCCAATGTGTCTATAAATCTTAACTAACTTAAATTGACTGTTACAATTGTAATAATAAATTTGTGTAGGGTGTTGACTTTTGACAAATGCCATGTTATAGGATCTGTTATTCAGTATCTTGTTAACAGTTGATAAATACTTGGTTGATGAAGGTTGAACTTTGTCAGAAAATGATAAATGTTATGTATATATGTGTTTGTTTTGTTAAACATGACAACATGAAGATATCAATATGCACAGGCTGTAGTCATGAGGCGGAAAATGAGCCTATTGATGAAAAGGAATAAATTATTTAAAAAATTGTTTGACATAAATTAATTTTCATCATTATGAAATATTCATATGCAGCCTGTGCCAGCAATGTTTTAGCCTTGTCTAAACATGGCTCCTAACATAATTTTCATTTGTTTTCATTGTTAATTGTTAATCAGTGAAAGAAGCAGTTTGAAAACAAATTATTAAATGAATCCTTAGCTGTTCTGAATAGCAATAAGTGATCATTATATAGGGTTTGAACTGCTCCAAGAGTCATTCTAACACATGATATCCATATATGTTGCCATTTTCATTTTTTGGGACCATGTTTCTGGTGGCTATTTGCATGTTTGTTCATGTTTACAACTATATCAAGTCTTTTCTTTGCATTGCATTGATCTTCCACACCAATCTCATCAAGCACAGGGGGCGGTGGGGTAGCCTAGTGGTTAAAGCGTTGGCTCGTCACGTCGAAGACCTGGGTTCGAATCCCCACATGGGTACAATGTGTGAAGCCCATTTCTGGTGTCCCTGCCGTGATGTTGCTGGAATATTGCTAAAAGCGGCGTAAAACATAACTCAGTCAGTCAGTCATCAAGCACAGAAAAAACCTGCCATAAACCTTAGTGGTTGCTTATGCCTATATGCAATGGTACTTAAGACAGTATTTCATTATGGTGGTCCTTATATGATCATGGTCATGGTCATAATCTAATGTTGCATCTCCAGTCTGCCAAAAACTTTTGAATCTACAAACCTTACTAGCTGTATGCCCTCATGTCTTGTACATAGCTTTAGCAGGTATAGCTTTGCTTCCTAGACTGATTTGAATGGTATTCGACATGGGATTGGGCCTGGTGGCTTAAGTCAGAGAGAGTCCCCGCAGTAAAACACTGACAAAGGAGATGTACAGACACATAGACAAATGTGACTGTATGTATTGGCTACAAGCAGTCTATGTAACTGCCAGTTCCAGAGATTCTGACTGACTGTCCACATGACCAGCCAAAACCATCAGCAAGGTACAACACCAGGATGAGGGATTGGGTAAGGCAGGGGCCATGGGCCATTTTGCACATTAGAATAAAAATTGGCCCATTAAAATTTTGAAATTTGCTATTGATACAAGGGCAGTGGCCCATTCTAAATTCAGAAAATGGCAATTAATCCTGAAAATGGCCCATTGTCAAAGTTCTCTATCCCAATCCCTGCAGGATCCAGGTTCCTTTGGAATAGGACAATTGTAGTCTTGGTAACCTGATGACCCGAACCCATTATAAGTCGGAAGAAGACTGTGGTAAAAATACTGTATCTCCTGGATATTTTAGCTGTGTTTATAATCTCCTCTAATAATTTGTTGGTTTCCCCACCATTGGCCATTCTTCTTCTTCCTGCTAATTTCCATCCTTGTGCTGTACTGTCCACATGACAGCTAGGACATATGGTCTGGATGTAGGGCACATGTGTCAGGTTTCTGATTGGTCTGTAGTGACAGATTGTTTTGCAAATATCCTGAAGAATTTGACCCATTGGAATTTGAAAGCCCAATCATGCGGAGTGTTGTAAATCTAGCATGTACAGGTATTGGCATGGCCCTTGTGTTAACAGTCAGAGATTAACAGGGATCCTAGATGCTGGTTTCAGTCTCAGGATGAAATACTTGTCCCGAGAACCAAGTATAATTGGGATCTCGTCTTTTCATTGTGTACAGAGTCTGACCTGCCTGATATTGTGTTGGCATATTCATATTTTATCCAGACAGTCTAGATGCTCTCCCTTTACTGTCAGTCACTGTTCCTTTGTGGTGTGGGGTGGTGGGGTAGCCTAATGGTTAAAGCATTGGCTCCTCACACCGAAGACCCGAGTTGGAATCCCCAAATGGGCACAATGTGTGAAGCCAATTTCTGGTGTCCCCCGCCGTGATGTTGCTGGAATATTGCTAAAACCGGCGAAAACCAAACTCAGTCAGTCAGTCCTTTGTGGTGAAAAGGCTGTGGAGCAGGACTCCACTGACAGTTAAATTTTGTCAATGAACCTAAAACAGAAAGGTATTTATGTACATCTATACATTTGTACTCTCCATGCTTGTTGGTACTTAGTAATTTTATTTATTGGCAGTTTGGTGTAACAACATTTCTTTCTCAGTCCCATCTTTGATTGGCTGCCTTTCATGTGTTCTAGGAAAATACTTTGGAAATGTTTTGGTGGCATTCGATCATATGTACTCTCCTTCTTATATCTTGAACTAGGAGTTTGGAAGGATCCTAGACAGAAATGTTAGTTAATCATCATCAATTGGAGGAACAAGTTCGGTCAAGTTTTAGGGATATTCTCTTATTAATGTTCCCATTCTCTTATCAAGCTAATTGAAACATTTCTGTAAACACAGAATAATGCCTTACTGTAAAACTTGGTGGTAATTTTCTTATCCTAATCTCATTTTCTGAACATAAGGGAATCAGGTGGTCAGGCTTGCTGACTTGGTTGACACATTTCATCGTATCTCATATGTGTAGATCAGTGCTCATGCTGTTGATCATTGGATTGTCTGGTCCAGTTTCAATTATTTACAGACCACCGTTATATCGCTAGGAATATTGCTGAGTGCTGTGTTAAAAAACAAACAACCTAAACAAAGAAACGTAAACAAAAATAAGGTATTGGCAATATATGTGTAGCTGTCTTTGATAATTGCTAATGTTTGATACATTGCTGGTTCTATTACTTTTATGCCAAATAGGTTGTATCCAAATTCCCAAACTGAAAAGGACTATGAATGTTATTGACATGTTTTTCAGAGACAACATGCCAAGTCACTTCAAAGTGAAAGAGTACTGCCCGATTGTGTTCAAGAACTTGAGAGAGCGGTTTGGGATTGATGACTTTGAGTATATGGTGAGTCCTCATGTAATTTGATACTGTTTTGATTCTGTGCTCTTAGTGAAAATTTATTTGCTGAGCTGAACCTTTTATGAATCTCTTAATGTCATTTTATTGTGAGATTATTGTCACTTGTTACAGTTACAGCTTACTTACCTGATTTTATTTTGAAAAAAATGATAAAAGACTGAAACAAATTAACTTGGGCGAACATATGTATGTACGTTCTCCTGGTCTCAGGTACCCCTGTTTATCTGGGAAAACAGGCAGGGAATAGTTCACAACACATTTTGTGTGTAGGAATGGGGGCTAGAACTGGTCCCCGGCAACCGATGCTTGTCTGTGGGAATCAAATCCAGGTAAACCCACATTTGTCCATGCCTACGAAGCTTTACCTTTGGGTATCAGTGTTCGAATAGGTCGCAAGAAACCAATTCTTATGTGAAGGTATTTGTTTGGTATAAGCTGCTCCTGCTTGTTTTGAGAGCTGACTAAAATGTGAATCAGGTGGTTACAATGTGCAGCCTTGATGTTTGAATGTCACTGTTCAGTTTGGCAAGAATCTTTGTGTATGCTGTTTGCCACTGGTTACCATGGATTTAGATATATTCCTTAAAGGTTGCAGTGATGGGCAGGAACACTCACTGATTCACTGACTCACTCACTGACTCACTGACTGACTGACTGACTGACTGACTCACTCACTCACTTGGGGCGGTGGGGTAGTCTAATGGTTAAAGCGTTGGCTCGTCACGCCGAAGACCCGGGTTCGAATCCCCACATGGGTACAATGAGTGAAGCCCATTTCTGGTGTCCCCCGCCGTGATATTGCTGGAATATTGCTAAAAGCGGCGTAAAACCAAACTCAGTCAGTCACTCACTCAGTCACTCACTCAGTCACTCACTCAGTCACTCACTCACCCTCCCTGCAAATCTGCCAATCAACAAAACTCTGCAGGCAGGGGTTGTGTTGTTTATGACCCGAATGACAATTTCATTACATGATTATGATTGGTATTTGTATAAACTTCTTTGACAAAGTATAAGCCTAGATTGCTCCTGTCAGAAGATCTTGACAAAACAAGACAACATATCAAGTTTACCTGCAAGTATAGTTTAGAAAAGAACTGTTAAAGAGCTGCCCAAGGCCTCCTCACACAAAGCTACTTTGGACCTATGATTGTTGTAAGTCTGTTTCAGTATGTTAGTTGTGATGATCTTAGTGCTGAGTTTGCTGTATGGCATGGGGCCCAGTTGTGAAGCTGGAGAACTGCTCACAGCTGTGGTGCACTGTTTGGACCAGAGTTCACGAGGGAAGGTGGCAGTTCAGTTTATGTCTGCTACACTGGCCTTTCATTTGTGTTACCAGGGTGCACTGCATCTCAGCATTGATTTCAGGAGGAATGTTGGCTTTGGTTCAGATTGAAGCTGGTGCACCTCAATACTTGTGAGTCCAGTCTAGTGTAGAAATTATAGGGAAATTTGAAATTTCTGCTGAATGCCTTGATCATCATCTTGAAGATGCTATGTACCTGGTGCTACCACCAACAAAGTATGACTGAGATGGGAGATTGTATATACAGGGAGCTGGAGTAGAGTTCCTGATTCTGATTATATGTACAGGTGAGACAGTAGGTGTAGATTGCCTGATTGCCTGGTGCAGGTGAACCAGGGGCAGAACACCTGCAAGCCGTTTCACCTTTACTGCTGAGCCTTTCAGCCTCATCATTAAGATGCTTCCTGTTCTTGAAGGAAAACATGAAATGGATATTTGCAAAGGGTTTCTTGCAAAGAATAAATAAGCTGAAATATATGTAATTAATATGGATTATGATACAGCCAGTCACTGCCTCAAGACGTACAAAGGACACTGGTGCTAAACACTCTTTTACTTGTCCCTGACCAGTTCTTTACAACTTTCTCAGGGGTGGAAATAACTTTAAAATTGCTAGTGTACTCCGGTACAGTGGCACATGTAAAATCACTTGCCCTGATAATTTTCCACTATACCAGCTGTTTTCTTGTTGATTTTTTACATAAAGAACATAATTAACATTGGAAAGTCAACTGGACACCAGTACAGTGTGATATACAAATTTGGTTGCCTGACAGAAAAAAGCACTGGACTCGGGTGTCGGGCAATGGGTTATTTCCACCCCTGCTTTCTGTACTACACTGCCAACATACTTGAACATGGAATTGAATTTTCTATAGTAGAAAATTGCAGCACTCGCTTTTTGAAACTCGCTTTTTAGAAAATCCAATCATGGAATCAAACAAGTGCCCATCTTTAAACTTTTCTAGTTCACTCTGTTTGTAATGGAATATCATCAAGTTGGTATTGTACAGTTTCAGTTAGAACAGTTAGAACACCACATGTCAGGGGCACGGGTGGCCAGGTCTTTATAGGTGACATGATTTGCTTTGCAAAGTTGCATCCCTCAGCCATGCCTGAAACCCACAATGGTTGTGGCTTTGACTCTTGGTTCACCATGGTTGTCAGCACTATACCTATACTCTTGATTTTTTCCAGTACTTATTCACTCACTCACTCATTCTCTTGAATTCTTTTACAACTTTGATCAGTTTGGTTCAAAATGTGGTTGTAGATCTTTCAGGTACATACATCAGTTTAATAGCAATTTAGTCAGAAGTCATAACAAGATGAAGCAGTTGAGCACAAACTGACAAAGACTATAGTCTGTTTGCAGTGAAAACGTACCGATGAATTTCACTTTAAACAAAAAAGTAAATCAAATAAAGTGAAATTAGAAGTACGAATCCTCATAATAGTTCAGGGAGAAAGTGTGTTTTATTACACTATACATGGTGGTAGAGAACTGTATTTCTTTTCTAAGATGCCAAATTTAATACTTTCTAAGGATAATTACGATTAATTTAAGGCAGAAAACAAACGGCGGTGTCGGTGACCTAAATTAAGAATCCTCGCACAGGGCTAACTGGCGCGCTGTTCTATTGATGTGTCTGCCCCCCTACGTTAAGACGAACGTTACCAGAAAAACAAATGATAAACAGTTTCATGACGGTTTACGTTCAGATTAAATATCTTCTCTAAAGTATTTTAATTACATCTGTGATTAACGTAAACCATGTGAACGTCGCATTTCTACTACCAACGTATGTTTAGATCAGTACATCCAGACGAAGCTGAGTAGTCTAGCGACATTCCACGATTGCATTGTGGGAATGTAAACATTGCGAACGTTACCGTGTTGCTGAAAACTTGCGAGTCGAATTGAGACATTTAAAAAGTCAGAAAACATAAACGTAATGTTTCCACCAGTGATGTTAGGTGAGTGAAGCAACTGCAAACCAAGAAACGGGATGCAACGCAGTAGTTTACTGTAGGAGGCTGTACGAGGCGATGACAACTGACATGCATCGTGACGTCGCTTACATTGTGACGTAATGTAAAATGGTTCGATTACGAGGGGGCACGCTAGAATGGCGCAGTGACGGGATAACGTCATTCAATTGTTACGTCATCAAAAAACTATACCTTTATTGTCTGATAGTGTATTTTTTGTTCGATTGTTCTAACCGCTAGGCATCTTAGAAGCTACATTATCCTCATGTATGTGTCTGATATCTGTGTTTCCAGCCACTATTCTTACCCCAAGACCATCTTCTGGTCCAGCAGCCTCAGTCAACAACTGCTGAATTTGCTGTATCTGTAATTAAGATTTATTTAATGTTGACAGAGTTCGCTGACCAAACAGCCCCACTACATCGACTCACCGGGTAGAAGTGGCGCTCGGATGTTAATGTCCCAGGACAAGAAGTTCTTTATAAAAACACTGGTCAGTGAGGAGGTGGAGCAGATGCACCATGTACTTAAACAGTATCACCAGGTGAGTGCACTATACTCAACGATGCACATTCTGCATCAACTTCATACCAGATTTAGTGTTGGGAATTGGTTAAAATCTCATAATGGATGATTGGTTCATTACAATCGATCAATCATCAAAAATAATTGGTTAGCGTCATTAATGAAATTTGTTAATGCACATAAAAATAAGGAAAAACATGTAGTTCTTTTGGGTTTTTTTGGCAAACTTTCACATCTTTAAAGGATGACTAGTATGTTAGGAACATAAATTTGTTGGAGTCTTTAAGATAAAATTCAATATGACTTGAAACGAGCTTGTAGTGCTTATGAAATGTAACAGACAAAACCAACCTTGTGAAAAATATTGTTAATGAAAACAAGTGTTCCAGAATTGTTTGTGTTTGATTATGAGAAAACATTTATTTTATTTTTATTTTTTTTTTTCGATTATGAGAAAACATGATCGATTGCTTGGTCATTCAGTCACTGCGACCAATCTTCGATTATTTCAATTAATCGGACCACCACTAACCAGCATGGAAACTGAAGTCTAATGAACAAGTAAAATTCAGGGTGTTACATTTTTGTTGCAATTTTGTGCCTTAGTGTGAATCGAAATGTTTTCTGTAAAAATATCAATTGTTAACAATGATGCTGCTCTCCATTATTGATTTTATTGATAGCTGTCAGAAGATGGTTGTTACTGACAGTTCCACTTAACCCTTCCTTCATATACCAAACCTACCTAGAGACATGAAGGAAATCAACTGAGAACCTATGCATGAGTATAGTCAGACAATCTACAGAACCTAGGGAATTAGTGATAGCTTTACCATCACTTTGAATAATGCAGGGGACTGTGGATAGAAGTTTTCAACCTGTAATATTCAGGGCCTAGATTTTCGAAGCTCTCTTAGCCCTAAGATAGTAGTAAGTGCCATACAATAAAATTAGCTTACAACTATTTTAGTGCTAAGAGAGCTTCGAAAAAGCTGCTGAAAACAATAGATCAGACTATAGATGGCAATTAGGTCGCTCAGCCAGGTATGACAACGGACCGTCGACTCACTTGGCATGAAATGCATGTGCTGCCCACGGCACAAGGGGTCATCTCAAATATATTTTATGCTTTTTCATGTGTATTGAATATGTCTCTATTGATTATATGTAATCTTAGCTAATATCCCTATCCTCCAGCCCGACCCCAACTGCCGTCAGCAACACCCGTTTTGGTTTTGCTTTAGAGACAACCCCTTCTTCCTGTTTCTTTTTATGATAGCGAGACTCAATGATATCTACATGCTTAATAGTTTTAGTATTAAAGTTGTTATTTTTTACGTCTATTGTTTATAATGAAGCTAAGTCTAATTTCACAATGGACATTCAAAAAGTGTCATTTGTTATACAATATCATCGAACACTAATTTGAATAAAGCCATGGTCTGCTCCAAATAAGTCGCTTCGGATTTTGAAAAACCTGCATTGCTCATTTCTGCACTAATCTCTCCTCAGTAAAATCCTTCATTAACATTTCCTATCTCCCTCCCACTGAGACTGTAGTTAGGCCGAACTTAGTTTAAGAGATATTTCACACTTTCACATATTAACTACCTAAATTGTAGATATAAATGTGAAAAAACAGTTATTTTCTATTTCCGACAGTACTTTAGTACAAGCACCTGCCACAACACAATCACACTGACAGTCACACATATGCACCCACACTTGTGCCTTCACACTCGTTACCTGGCACACATGCATATGTCTGTTGTTATATAGAACCCCATGTCATAACTTGGTCTTTATTGTATAGAAGCCCATGTCACAACTTGGTCTTTATTGTATAGAAGCCCATGTCACAACTTGGTCTTTATTGTATAGAAACCCATGTCACAACTTGGTCTTTGTTTCAGTATATTGTGGAGAAGCATGCCCAGACCCTGTTACCGCAGTACCTGGGTATGTACCGCCTGACGGTGAACGACGTCGAGACCTACATGGTGGTCATGAGGAACATCTTCAGCCCCAGACTAGGAATACACAAAAAGTATGACTTGAAGGTCAGTACATACATATTGATCCTCTTGGCTGAATGCTCATTACTTTATATATGAAACTTGAGTTTTTAGGACAATGATATATACTGTAGAGGCTAAAGCAACTTGTTTTGTGTGGAGTTATTTCCCAATGGAATATCAATTTGGAGATATGTGGTAGTGGTGGGTTTGGACGTTGGATTGGTCCAGGACTGACTTGGTGGTACGGCTAGGTTGGGAAGGGTCAGGGTCATCTGTTGCCCAGTGGTTTAATGAGCTCCTGAAATGCAGTGAAGAGTTGTGTCCTGTAGCTGTAGCAGAATCTGCTGCAATCATCCTGACTATCATCTGGCAGGACTTTACCCATGATCTTAGATTTTCACTGAACACTACCAGCTGCACCTTTGTGTGGATATCTTCCTGCATTAATCACACTATTCAAATAACTGTTTAAGTGCTATTTAAATCAGTGTCACATTCCTGTAAGTCATCTACCCAAAAGGGGAGGTGGGGTAGCCTAGTGGTTAAAGCGTTGGCTCGTCACGCCAAAGACCCGGGTTCGAATCCCCACATGGGAACAATGTGTGAAGCCCATTTCTGGTGTCCCCCGCCGTGATGTTGCTGGAATATTGCTAAAAGCGGCGTAAAACCAAACTCAGTCAGTCAGTCAGTCAGTCATCTACCAAAAAAAGATTGTCATGGTAGATAAATCTTGTGTTGTGATTATGTATGACTATTACTTGAAAACATTTGCTAGATTTAAGCTAAGTTGTCTCAAGTAAACTGTTTGTACACCTAGACTTAGGTGTAAAGTAGCATTTAATCCCCACTTCAGGAAAGCAAATCAAATTGATTCTCCTTGACATTGGATTTCTGGATAAAGAGAGGTTGCCATGGGGATGTTTATAACAGTAAATACCCTGTAGTAGGAAGACATGAGCTTGTGTTCCTCAGACTTACCATTACAAAACACACTCTTGTGATAACCTGTTCATGATGTAATGTTAGTCTTACAATCTGTTAATTTTGACTAGTTAAACAAGTGCGATGCCATATTTGTTTGGATATCATGAAGCAATGACCATGAAAATACTGTGTGTGCTATCTCCTTGTGAACTGCCACTTTCACCAATATCTGGTGGACAATAGCTGTAGCAGATAATTTGTGTGGACTTGTCAAAATAGAATTATGTTCGAAAAGAGGGTGTGAAAAATGTATAAGCAATTAAAAATATACAGGAAAGTTGAATCTGACAGTAAAAACAAGATATGGTTAATAGAACCCGGTAGTCTTGTAATTGCAGTGGAAACCTAATCAGGATGTTTGATTGCTTTTCCTCAATCTGGGATCAAAACTTTGCATGTTGAATATCTATCTTGGGTTTATATAGGTCTCCGAACTAAAAATATATTTTGGTTTATTTGTTGAAATTTTGAAGAAAATTCTTTATTATTTAAAATTTAGACTTACAGCATTGTGTATAATTCGATAATTCTGCATTCATTATATTGGTCCTGTTATATGCAAAACAGGTCACAAAGCTATACTGTTAGTTTGAACGATACTGATGTAATGACCATGAATAGGGCAAGTCTGAATTCTAAATTGGGAATTTTTTCCATCTACTGTTTGGTCTTTTTAGACGTCTGCTGAAAACGTGGACAGAAATCTGAACAAGTTTAGATAAATCCTTGCTATCTGGCCGTCTTTTTACTACACTTGTTCCGGGATAGGGGTTTGATTGGGAGTCGTGTTTACTTTCACATCGGAAATACTGAGTGCTTTCAGATGAGTATCCTTGTAATGCTTTCACTTTCTGTCGGAGTGTTTGTGGTGTATCTTGCTGATAGGCTAACACTGTGTTAATCAATGTAAATGAAGTGGCAGGTTCATGAACATGTGATAATGAATACGTGTTTATGGAGGAAATGGGGAAAGTCAGGTCATGATGACCTTGGCCACAATTTGTGAACTGCACGTCATGGATCAGCACAACTTAACACCATCACTCTCCATGGACACATACAACATCAATAGTGTTTTAGACTGGTCTGTTAGAGCAACAATGGACATGTCCCTAAAATGTCATTTGTGTTGTAATTGTTGTAAATTAAATAATCTGTATAGAATTTCAGGGGATAAATAAACCATTTTTCTCTTCACCAAACGTCAGAGGAGCTTTGTGGTTACTGGTTTGATAATCAGCCAAACTTCAGGTAGAGTGTGTGACCAAATTAGTGTCCACTTCATAAGCTGCAGTGTTGAGTCCTACATAATACGGTCAACAAAGATCCATGTGGCCACCAATTACACCTATTCTTGCTGATATGGGGACTGACTGAGTGTTAATATGCTCAATAGGTCTCATTACTCATGTCTGAATTTGAGAATTTACCTGTTTATGACAGGTGTTTGTGTTCCATAACTTCACTACTGGATTCAGAGATGTGTGGGTGGTAGGGCATCAGCAATGTATATTACATGTCATGAATAAGTGATAATTGTGTTTTAATTATGTTGTTTGTTTTGGTTTTAAAATACATCTGTTGTTTGTCATGACTAGTCTTTCCCTAAAATTCTTAACAAAAGGACCACATTTTAACTCACATTTTCTGCTATCTGTACACTGTAAGTCAACCATGGTAGGTCAGAAATGTTTAGTGAAACATGACATGCTCATGACCATGACCTGGGTTCCTTCTGTATCAACTCCTGGTTGCAGGAAGTATGCATGAAATAGTCCTGCTCATAGTAACCAACATCCGCGATGAAAGAGGGAAGCATTTGGTGCAGCAGTATCTAAGATGTAACATGCTCTAACTTTAAGCCATGTCATAAAAAAATAGCAAGAGTAAGTTATGCATAAAAATAACAAGTAAGCATTGTCATCAGCTTGTATGTTTCTTGAAGCATGGTCTTAAGGCCAAAATGTGCTCGATCATGAATGTTTTTCAATTTTCACTAACTATTTTCCTCATTTTGCACTCTGTCTTCTGTCTCAATAGATTTTTGGAAAAGCGTCTTCAGGACAATATGATTTACAGTGCCCTGACCTTCAAGTTCTCTTTTCTTTTTGTGACTGATGTATGTGTGACCTTGACCTCTGTTCATTTGTCAGTGTTTGCATACCATCCCGACCTTGAGTTTGGTTTGGTTCGGCCACTCACCCTCCAAACTGCCATAACTGCCACTGTTGACTGAAACCCTGTAGAAATATCATCAGTCTTTTTAAAGACTTCCTTTCATTTCTTGCTGGGTTGGGTTTGTGATCGATGCCATCATACATGGCCCGTGTAATGCGCCAACAGTGGCATTGCTGGTGTAATGCGGTTAATGAAACTTTCAGCTGAGATTGGTTTCAGGGGAAGAGGACAGGAAACCTTTGATGTTTTCAGGGTCATTGGGTAGAGGCTTTCTTAGACTCTGTATATGTCTTTCTATTTATCAGCTTGATGAGGTTGAAACTTGACCTGAAATGACTAATGTGTTAGGAAACAGGTATAAGCCATGGAGTTAACAAATCTAAAATGGTTTTTGTCAAATAATTTTCCAGATTTCACATTTTGCTACTAAAATAGCCTCATACATCATGGTTGATGAATAAAAATGTCTTGAAGATTCTACCTTGTAGAGCAGGAGGAGTTGTGGAACTTGAGTCAGTTTCATGGTCCCTTGGTATGATTGGGATGTGGATGACATCATATCAGTGTTGGAGGAATAGTCGGGCAGCCTTGTGACAGTGTTTGCTTGTGACATTAGAAGCTTGGGTACTATTTCCTTCAAGGCTACAAATGTGTTTAGCCCAATTCAGGGTCCCCTGACATGTTTCTGGAAGTTTTCCAAAAGTGGCGTAAACCTAGACTCAGCTGTAGCGATATAATTGGAATCTTTGAGATGTTCCTTTGTGTTAATAATTTTCACTTTTCTAAATCCCAGAGGATGAGTTGACTTGTTGATGTAACACAGATGTCCCAGGGTAGCAGCTAGACTCATAATACACATTGTCAGAACTCATGGTTACACCTAATGTGATCTGTTAAACAGTGGCTGTCAATGAAATGCGTGGACCACCTCTACATAGGGGTGGAAATAACTTTAAATTGCTAGTGTACTCTGGAACAGTGGCACATGTAAAATCACTTGCCCTGATAACTTTTCCACTATACCGGCTGTTTCTTGTTGACTTTTTAAAATAAACAACATAATTAACATTGGAAAGTCAACTGAACACCGTTACAGTGTGATATACAAATTTGGTTGCCCGACAGAAAAAAACACTGGACTCGGACCTCGGGCAATGGGTTATTTCCACCCCTGCTACATCATTGGGGAAATGGTGTTCAGTTCTGTTGAAACATGCTGTTAGTAGTGTTATATAAATTGAAACATACAAGGAACGTGGCCCTTTAAAGGTACAGGTAATAACCCTGATGTTAGAAGTTCAACATTTGAGGGGCCTCTTGATTCAAATGTAAAAGGTCCAAACTTCAAGGACCAGAGCCACATCTCCTTCCTCCCTCTCCCTCTTTATGTATTACCATCACTTTTCTCCTCTTGCCATGCCACACACACACTACCATGCCACGCCATGCCACATATAATAATATGGAGCATTGTCAAAGCAATAGTGTTGCCTGCAAACTGAAGCTGCAGAATGCAACCATATTTATGCCATCTTGCACCCAGTGCATGTTCAAATTTTCATGGTCAGCTTGAGAACAGAATAATTTTGTTATAATGATGTTCTGATTAATTTTACATCAAGCAACCTGTTTTTGTCTGGTGCAATAAGGTCATGGCCTAAAGTTATGTCAGGTGCAGGTATATTTCATTTCCTTAAATCTCTCTAAAAACGGTGCAGGTCTCAGTCAGGCAGATGGGTTGTACAGGCAAAGATAAAATGGGCATGCCTTTAATATCCCTGAATTCAGGTTTTCATTGAATGCCCTTAATGTAAGCAAATTGACTGAGACTATGGTTCATCATCTTGGTCCTGTATATAGGCCTTGGAATGGATCCTGTG